AATTATACAGTACGAGGCAAACCTGAGCTACAGTAGACATTGATAAAAACCAGTTGTTCTCAGCTTTCCTAATGCTGTGACCATTTAATACAGTTCCTCATGATGTGGCAACCCCAACCATCAAATTATTTTCAGTGCTACTTCAGAACTATAATTTTGCTGGTAAGTATTGTAATAGATATATCTTTTTTTATGGTGGTCTTAGGCCAGTCCTATGATAGGGTCATTTGATTCCCCCAAAGGGAGCTGTGATGCCACAGGTTGAGAATCACTGAACTAAACTGATACATATGAATAAGTAAATAAAAGCAATTAAGAGAAAATGAAATGAAATTCTTAAAGCAGGTAACAGTGGGGAAAATGAACAAAAAGGATTATGGCAGTAATGCATTCAAAGAAAATGAAAATTAAAACAATCAAAAATTGATATTTTTAAGATTTTTGTTTATTTATTTATTGCATATACAGTGTTCTACCCACATAATAGAAGAGGGCATCAGATTGCATTTTAGAAGGTCATCACTAAGCTACCCTGTGGTTGCTGGAAACTTAACTTGGGACCTCTGGAAGAGCAGTCAGTGCTCTTAATCTCAGAGCCACCTCTCCAGCCCCAATAATTAATTTTTTTAAGGAGACAAAGAGAATTGAAAGAACACTGATACTGACTTTGAAACAGAAGGCACTTTCCTGGTAGGGAGAGAATGCCATTAAAAAGGCATCATATGACATTTTCCTATGTAAAAGTTTAGCTACTGAGTGCTGTATGCGGATACATGGAGTTAACAGCCAATGACCTGAGCCTCAGTCCTCTGAACTGACTTTACTTTGTCAACCAGGATTGCACACACACATCTGCATGGGAGAGTAGCTAAATTACAAATTCAATAGTCATTAGCTCAAGATAAACTTTCCAAGCTGTACACTGGCCTGTGTTCATTCACATGACATGACTTAAAGCATGCTGGGATATTACAAAAATAAGCCACAATCAGGTCCTTTTTAATATTGGTGACTCAAGCAGCTGATATCCTGCCCTGTTTCCTTGCTATGTAAACTGTTCCTCCTCTTTTGATCTGAAGGCAGAAGCAAAGCTCCACATGCAAATCCTTTTCCTGTGACTGCTTTGCAAAGCAGGCTACATCACTCAAATGGAAGATTGTAAACCTCAGAGGTGGCCAGGCTCACAATTTTAATCCCAGCACTGAAGAGGCAGAGGCAGGCAGATCTCTTTGAGTTCACGGCCAACCTTTTCTACAGAGTGAGTTCCAGGGCAATCCCCAAAGCAATACAAAGAATCCCTGTCTCCAAAACAACAACAAAATAGCAACAACAACAACAAAAGGTCTTCTGAGGTGGTATAGTCATTTAATAATTTTGGAAGTATGATATAGAGGACAGAAAGGTCAATGCCCTAGAAAGCAACAGACTATAATCAAAGTCAACTAAGTCAACATAAGAGTTTGTCTTAGAAATGTATTTTCTAACCAGATGGAAATGCAGCCATCCTGAAATTACTGTGCCTCCCCAGGGAGAATAGTAAAGAAAAATATGTTTAATGATGTCATGCATCCACCTCTCCCTAATGCTCAAAGAGGAGTCAGCTTAGAAACACTTGCATTCCACACATGCCATCATCCTTCAGTGTCTTTTAAGTTCATTATCCAGGTTATACTTTGAACAAATTAAATAGAGACAGGCGACTTGTAGGTCTAGCCATTTAGGCATATCAGAGGATTACACAGCAAAGATATGTCCTAGAATAAATTCCTAAGTACACCAGTTACCTGGCCTGGAACTCACAGAGATCTGCCTGCTTCTTCCTCTGGAGTGCTGGGATTTAAACTTCTTAGGAGAATTGCAGATTGTATACTAATCCCAGGGGGCAAATGAAGGGAATAGGAGACATTTATGCAGTCATAAGAAGGGACAAATTCACGAGGTAGCTAGTCAAATGACACTACACAAGAGGACCAGAGGGTATCTCAAGAACATTACTGACTAAGCCCACAGTGTCCTTGGGACAGATAACCACAGCTCCATGTAGTGGGGAGAATTTGGCTCTCAGGATCTAAAGCAAAACCTCCACAAATGCCCTGACCCTGGAACATTACTGGCTCTCCCAAAGAGCTTCCTGGTTTTAGAGAAAGATCTCTGCTTATTGTCAAATTATCAGGCACTTAGAGTACCGTCCCAAGACCTTGATATTCAAATAGTTGTCACCTGGTGTCCTACTATGCTTATCTCAAGAAGAAAACTGGAAATGTGGCACACCAGGATTTAAGTTTGGTTGAGACCCTTCAATGCCTCCTTGAGAAGCTTATTTTTGGCCTGTTCCTTGAAATGGGGATGGGCCTAGTGGCTCCTGTAGACCAGGCTGGTGTCAAACTCACAGAGATCCACCTGCCTCCTGAATGCTGGGATTACAGGTATGTACAACCATTTCCCAGCACACACACACACACCTTTTTTGTATCCTAAAAATCTCATTATTTTTTAATAACTGGGCTCACTTCCATCTGTTAAATAAGGGAATCATTCTAGTCCGCAGTGTGTCATGGTCTGTGAAAGCTCGGCACATGGTGTGGAAGAGGAGGAAAAGGAGGAACCTGTGAACTGCAGGAGGAGACCTGGGTCGTCCTCTGGAGACAGGAGATAGAGAGTGATACTGAAATCCATGTCTCTGCAGATCTCTAAAAGGATCCGGTCTGAAGCAGAAACCAGGGCCAGGGACCCCTGTTCTGTGGCTTTAAGCACACTCCGACCCTTAAGGAAGTGTTCTTGTCACTTTAGCATCACCAGCCAATCAGTTCCGCCTGTCCAACCTGCCAGTTACAGGTCTCACAGGACACTTCCTGGAGCCATGTTGCAGGCTTGGTTTCACAGCAGGACAGGTGTAGGGGATGTGAGGGGAGCATGGATAAGCATAGAAGCCATAGCATGGTGAGTGAGGGGATGCTCTCCCAAGATGGGGAGGACAGGATGGGGAAGTGTAGGGGACAGTGTGGCAGGCCCTCCCTGAAGCTGGGTGGGAACCTGCAGCCACATTCAGTGCTCTGTGAGGTACCATGTGGTCCTGGCAACTCCTCAGACCCTGGTGCTAGCCTGTGAAAACTTCAGTCTTTGGACTGTGTCTGTGGAAAACATTTCTAACAGGGAGATTTGTGTAGAAACATCTTTGTAGTCAACAACAACGTGGGTTTGGTGCTTATGGAACCACGTTGTTAAACTTGGAGAGGCCTAGTTTCTCTAATGTGTGTATTCTACACACATTTAACATTTAGGTATAAGATCCAATTGGAGTTAATTTTGTGCATGGTGTAAACGGTATTCCTTTTCTTTCTTTCTTTATATTTATTTATATTTGTTTTTTTATTTGAGACAGGATATCTCTGTGTAGCTTTGGAGCCTGGAACTTGCAATGTAGACCAGACTAACCCAAACTCAGAAATATTTGCCTGACTATTCCTCCTGTGTGCTTGGATTAAAGGCATGGGCCACAAAGAAGACTGTAAATGGCATTCTTATGTTGGATCACACTCCACTATTAAGCTGTGATGTGGAAGAGTAGAATTTTTGATATAAAGGATTTACCAATTTTTAGGGAATAGTAAATCCTGCAAAATAGAGTTTACCTGAGGGAGTGCTGACTCTAAAATAACCCGAAGTTAATTGTTATGCAAACCAGGTCTGTTAGAGATTAGGATGATAAAATATGAATTTGTTCTCCATGACTGTCCAAACATCTGGCTCCAAACCATGACAAATGAGAAAAACCTGATTTAAAAACAGGCCATAGGCCCATCCCCATATCACAGGACAGGGATGCTCTTTTTTCTTGTTTGTTTCTTTGTTTTGAGACAGAGTCTATGTGTGGCTTTGGAAGCTGTCCTGAAACTAGCTCTTGTAGACCAGGCAGGTCTTTAACTCACAGAGATCCACCTGCCTATGCTTCTGAAGTGCTGGCATTAAAGGCCTGTGACACCAATGCCCAGTTAAGAACTGGGCTTTTAAAAGCTGCTCAAGGGGGTATTACTGGGTCACAGTGAACATTAGGGCCTGGTGTGCCACACAATTCCAGTTTTCCTCTAGAGAAATTCAATGTTCTGCCAAGTGGACAATGGGACACCAGTGACAACTATTCAAAGTGTGAAACACTGTTGTGTTAAGGACTTGTCTGATCAACCAAGGATTTCATTTATGCCCTCAGGCAAAGAGGAGGAACATTTTCAGGACAGCTACTAACAGCTTGGGGCCTAGGTCTTTTGTGCTTTCCCTAAGGCCATGATATATTGATAATAAAATGGAGAGCCAGCCAGGCATTGTTGGCACACACCTGGACTAGGAGGTGTGGCTTTGTTGGAGTGGGCTTTTCCTTGTTAGAGGAAGTTATGTCACTCTGGGGTCAGGCATTGAGGTTGCTCATACTCAGGATGCTGCCCACTGAGTCAGTCAATGTTCTACTGTCTCTGTGTCAAGATGTAAGGGCTCTAACCTCCAACACCACATCTGCATAGATGTGTCCTTGCCCCCTGCCATGAGGATGCTCAACTGAACCTCTGAAATTTTAAGCAACAGACTTCAATTAAATTTTATCTTTGTAAGAGTTTCTGTGGATCATGGAGTCTCTTCACGACAATAAAAACCTAACATAGATAGAAGTTGGTACCAGGGACTTGTGTATTGATCTGATAAGCTGACTGTATCATACAATTTCTCTGATGTGTTCTCAGTAATTTTGATCTGCTGGCTTGCCTCTCCCTTTATGTCTGTTCATTGGGATTTCTTTCTCAAGGCTATATTCTACTTAAAGATCCAAGAAATGGTACATGTTTGCGTCATATTCAGTTTCCTTCTAAAGTGACTGGGTGAATACATTCCAATGTCCATGTCATGAAATAAGTGTGAGAGACCCAGAATTATCTGAATATATTGTCAAAGAAGTATACATTTACAATGTGAATATCACACTTCCTGTATTACTCAAGTGTGGGTTATTTTAGGATTCAATGATCTATGATGATGTGCACATCAACTTCACTCAGGAAGAGTGGGCTTTGCTGGATCCATCCCAGAAAAGTCTCTACAAGGATGTGATGGTGGAGACCCACAGGAACCTCACTGCCATAGGTGAGACTGGAATTTCCTTCATAATTTAAAATAAGGGGAAGTCTGTTTCTTTGTTGTTGATACTCTTATGTAATTTTGATTGAGAAAAGGGAAACTTAGGTGAATATGGCATAGTTCTAATGTTCATTGATGATATTAACTTAAAATTGATGCCATTTCTGTTCATATTATATGCATTTTCTGGTATTCTATTTTATGCTACAAGTGGGAAGACCATAAAATTGAAGAACATTGTGACAGTTCTAGAAGAAATAAAAGGTAATATTCAAGTGCAAGCTTATGCAAATTTGTATTACACCCCATTGAGGTCTGTGCTGTAGAAATGCCAATCCTTTTAGTTTCATACCACTCAGATATTTTAAACAGTATATTCGTAGAATAGGTGATATGTTTATGTCCAAGAACTTTTAAGAAATAAAGATTCTATAGAGAAGCAGTCATTACTCATATGTTTGTGACTTTGCTAAGTATATTGAAAGGGTCAGATTATGAGAGTCAAGAAGTTTGTTTTGGAGGAAACTTAATACATATATGACCTGTTTCTGGGGAAAAGAAAGCCAAATTGTGGGAATGAAATGTGCAAGCGTTTTGTTATTCTTGCTTTAGTAAGAGTATATTGTCCAGCGGGGCAGTGGTAGTGCATACCTTTAATTCCACCACACAGTAGGCATAGGCGGCTGGATTTCTGTGAGTTTGAGGCCAGCCTGGTCAATAGAATGAGTTCTAGGACAAAATCCAAAGCTACACAGAGAATACTGTCTCAAAAAAACATGAAAATGAAAGAATATCATATATCGCTCTAAATACAAGCTATGTGAGCTTAGAATATGGAAAGAAGCAATGTAGCTCCCCTCACTCTCAGGGATCCTAGAAAATATGAATGTTATATAGTAGTTCCCCACCTTGAGTAGCTGTGTTAAATCTGATGCAAGATTACAGATAATTGAATTTCCAACTTCCTTGGGATGACACCAATGAACTCACAATGCAGAAAAGCCCTCTGAGTCCTGGAATATATGAATATGTCATTTGTCCTGGCATATTCAGCCAAAGATATATAATTCAAAATACAGGAAAACTTATGAAAGCTGTATGGCAAAGCTCTGAGTTCATCCAGCTCTTCTTGAATATGGGAAAAATCTCACATAAATAAGATGGCATAGATGCTGGCCATGAAATAAAGGCTCTAACTCACTGTCACAGGTATCTTCATAGCCACAAAGCAACCCCTCATAATGGAAGCATCATGAATATAAAACTTAAGAACTGATTCATCTTTGCAAGTAGGCAAAATTTTAGATTCAATGTATATAGAAACCATGATTCATCAATATAATGGAAGTGGTAAAGCTTTTACATGTGCCAATTATCTTTGCAGTAATGAAAGAACCCATCCTGGACAGAAAACCCTGTGAATACACTCAATGTGTTAAAACATTTGTGTGTTGCAGGCATCTTCAAAGACATGAAAACATTCATCCTGTAGGGAAACCATATGAAAGTTTTCAATATGGTGAAGTCTTAGCATGTTACAGTTGTCTTAAACTCCATAAAACAACAGGTTCTGGGAAGACAGCCCATGAATGTAATTAATGTGGTAAAGCTTTTTCTTTTTTTTTCTTTTCTTTTTTTCTCTTTTTTAGTGTTTTTTCTATTTTTTCTTTTACTTTATTCGTTGCTAAAGCTTTTTCTAAACACAGCAGTGTCATAAGTCATAAAACAACACATATTAGAGAAAAACACTATGGAGGCAATCAGCGTGGTATAGCTTTTTCTCATGTCAGTGGTCTTATAAAAGAACACACACTGGAGGGAAATCTATGAATGTAATCAGTGTGACAAAGCATTTTCAGATCGCTCTAAACTCCAAAGACACAAAAGAGCACACACTGGAGAGAAACCCTATGCATGTAATCCCTGTTATAAAGCTTTTGTAAGTCATAGTGATCTTAAAAGGCATATAAGTACACACACTGGAGACGAAACCTATGCATGTAATCACTGTGGTAAAGCATTTGCAAGTCATAGTCATCTTCAGGTACATAAAAGATCACACACTGGAGAGAGACCCTACAACTGCAATCAATGTGGTAAAGCTTTTTCACAAGTCAAGCATCTTCAAGTACATCAAAGAATGCATACTGGAGAGAAACCCTATGAATGTTATCACTGTGGTAAAGCTTTTCCAAGCCAGAGTCATCTTCAAAGGCATAAAAGATCACACACGTGAGAGAAACCCTATGCTTGTAATCACTGTGTTAAAGCCTATGAAAGTCATAGTGAGATTAGAAGACACATAAAAACACACACTGGTGAGAAACCCTATGTATGTAATCAATGCAGTAAAGCCTATTCAAATGTTAGAAGTCTTCAATATCATAAAAGAACACATATGGGAGAGAAACCTATTGAATACAATCAATGTGGTAAAGCCTTTTCACACACCAATGATCTCAAATATCATAAAAGAACACACACTTGAGAGATACCATAGTAATGTAATCAATGCGGTAAAGCCTATTCATATGTCAGAAGACTTCAATACCATAAAAGAACACATAATGTAGACTGACCATGTGAATGAGACCAATGTGTTAAAACCTTTGTAAGAAATCACACTGCAGAGAAACCCCTTAATTGTAAGCAGTTTGGTAAAGCTGTGCATTCTGCATACCTCAATAATCTGTGAGCTCCTGAAAATTTTAATACTGAAGGAAATCTTGGTATAAATGATTTGGTAAGATCTTCAATGAACACACATTTAGTTACACAAGATTCTGGGGGAAAACATCTGAAGTGTCATGAATCTGCTCAAGCATTGTGATGTCTCTATTGTGTTTGCCTCTGCAAACTGGTATGTACAGTCCAACGAGTACAGTCCTACGAGTTCACTGATAAGGTAACCCTTTTTGTGTTCATGGTTTTTTTAAATTGCATAAAAAATCATCTTTGGGATCAGTCTATTGGTCTAAATTAAATCCTAAATTCTTGCTTTCCATTCCATGAGCCAATGCATGATGAAAGGAAACGCTAAGACTCTAAATGCCTCAACCCCTGGGATACAGAAATGAGTGCATACAAGAGAAAATCTTCACCTGTGAAAATCTGTTTGGTTAGAGAATTGATTGAATTTAATTATGTGATATTAGTGTTTGGGTTTGTGACAGATCATGCATATTCCCAAGATGGGTAGACCCTCAAGTCTTTCTGTAGCAAAGACTACAGAAAGTTCCCTTAAACCTGACCTAGTTTCTGGCAATGAACTTGTAATAATTTTGTTCATCCACATCTGTAACCCTGTTCATATTTTAAACCCTTTTTGTAACATCTTGATATCAGGTAATGGGTAGAATTCATGGAAGAGAAATCCCTATTCATATAAACAATTTGGCAGAGACGTTAGTCTTCATACTTATGTTCATTTTCAATAAAATATTATTTCATGTGAAGACGGGTGTTAATGAGTTCACTGGACCCAAGATAAATGAGTAATGAGGGTTTTATTGGGGACCTATTTACACAGATAATAAAAAAGAGACAACGAGGCATTCCTGCTCCAGGAGATGCAATCTTTGTCTCTCTGACACCCAAGAGAGACAGAGAGACAGAGGGTGGAGAAGGAGAATTTAGAGAGAGAATGAGGGAGAAAGGGAGAGACCGACAGAGAGGAGAGAGAGAGGAGACTGAAAGAGAGACAGAGAGAAGAAGAGAGAGACATAGACAGAGGAGAGAGCAAGGAGAGGGAAAGAGAGACACAGAGAGAAGGAGACAAGAGAGGAGAGAGACAAAAAGGAAGAAAGGAGAAAGAGAGACAGAGAGAGATGGAGACAGAGAGAGGGATAGAGAGACAGAGGAGAGAGAGAGGCAGAGGAGAGAAAGACAAAGAGGGAGAGAGGAGGGAGAGGGAGACAGAGATGAAGAGAGAGGGAGAAGGGAGAGAGAGGAGAGAGATACAGAGAGATAGGAGAGAGAGACAGAGAGGGAGAGAGAGACAGAAACAGAGAGATAGATAGAGACTGTGCCTTTCCCAGGTTCTCCATCTCTGGGTTAGGCACACAGAACCAAAGGCACAGCAGAGAACATTCCACCAGATTCCTCCCATCTGACTGGTGGGCCCACTGAAGATTCTGATTGGCTGGCGAGACCTGAGTGACAGGACCAGGTGAGCATAAGAGACAGCACAGTGGCTTAATCTGAGCAAAGAATTCCTGTGTGGCCCCAGGGGAAGAGAAAACCAGAATCCAAGAGGTGAATCCTGAGGTGGGGGCATTTACCACCCGACCAGCCATTCCCCCCAACCCTCTGTGCATGGAGCTGGCAATAGTGGGCTTTTCAGGGGTAGAGTCTGAACTGAGGTGACTGCATGTGAACACCCATCATTGGCATCTTTAGGGCAGGGTTTTGAACGGGGCAACCAAACATTCCAACCTCACTCCATAGATACAGAAACTGCTAGGGCTTCCACCTAAACAATCTAGACTCCCTGAGTACAGGGGCCTCTGTTTAATTCTGGCTTCGTCCAGCTGGAAAGGGACAGTGTGGGAAGGGATGAGTCAGGACTAGGTACTCACATTCAGCAGGAGTAAGGGTGGAGAATTATTCCCTTTTCTAACATCCTGTAGACTACAGGCATTGGTTCCTTGAAGAGGCAGAGAATGCAGGGTGGGGTAACCTTCCACTATAACAGGGAGGTGTGGGTGGAGAGAGGCTGCTGTGAGTCTAGGCAGTGTTTGGTAGCACAGATCCATTCCCAGCCCTCAGGGTACCAAGGGCAGGTCTTCTCCTGGAGTCACCTCAGTTCAGACTCAGCAAATAAAAGCCAGCGATTGTCCCCCTGAGAAGGGGAAAGGGACTAGAGCTCCTGAACAAATAGGGAGCATGGGGGAGGAGAGAGGGAGGTAGGAGAAACAGAAGGGGAGAAGAGGATGGGGGAGGAGGAAATGAGGGAGCAGGAAGGTTGAGTCAGGGGAACAATAGAGGAGAGCGGGAAAAGAGAGGCCATAATAGAGGGAGCCATTATAGGTTTAAGGAAGAATCTGGCACTAGGGAAATGTAAAGACCCCAACTAACAATCTAAGCTCCCTTAAATGCTGTTTCTTGATAATGAAATTGATGATTTCCTTGTATGCCATCCTAGAGTCTCCATCCAGTTGGCTGATGGAAGCAGAAGCAGACACCCACAGCTAAGCACTGAGCTGAACTCCTGGAATCCAGTTGCAGAGAGAGAGGAGTTATGAGCAAAGGGGCCAAGACCAGGCTGAA